TTAACAATATACCGTTATCCCATAAGACTGTTGATATTAACAGTCGGTGGCTCACAGTGTCAGAGGCATTGGTTAAATTTAAGTATACAATTACTAGGATAATGCCGGTATCCTTAAGTTGTAAGACGTGGTGGAAAAACTGTGAATGGCATGTCGTGCAAGAACGTGACTTAATGATAGGGAGGGGTGAGTTTCTCTTGGTAGAGGGCGTCAAAAATCCACTTCACAATCTTTTTCCAGAAACTTTGAGGTAACGAAGTTAGGCTTATGGCTCCCTAATTCATGACGCTTGAGCGATAGCCCGACCAATGCCTAGTGGTAATGTACGTGGGTTTCCGTGCATCTGGATATATCACAGCGGATAGAGAGGTAGAAAACACTTTAAGAAGAAGAATGAATATGTCTTCACCACCGTAATTCAAAGAAGGTTGATGGGACCGTATCAGGATCAAGGTTGCTTGAACTTTTAAATGAACCGATTGCCTTCTTAATACTATCTAGGGAAAACCTGATAATTTCTAGGGGTTTCGAGAACGTAGAGGGAATGGAGGTTATAGTGATGCATTATCATCATAAGTGTAGGACTGCGAGAAGTGGGTGTTTAGGAGTTGGTGAATTATTTTAGGGTTACTAGCAGTCTCATCATCTTCCAAAATGGATGTTATGTCCGTTTTACGAGAGTCCAGCCTTTACGCGGTAAAGCCTATAGATTACAGTGTATTTAGAGCCACCTTTAAGATCTGCATTTGCTTCTCTGTATATGAATTTGTTTTTATTTTCTCTCGACTTGAGATGGGTATTTAGTATATTTACACGACACTGGAAGTCATTTCCTCTATGTTGCCGTTATGGGGCCCCTTTCTGTTTAGGTCTTGATATCAACGCCATATGTACTTGCTTCTTACATGTTAAAGGGTTCATTATTGCAGAGGACCCAAAGGTAGCTTATACACTCTAATGTGATGATCTAGGGTACTTCCAGAACATTGTGCGGAATGAATTGGATAAATTGAATGCCTGGTAATATTCGTGGAATCTACAGTTCAATCTGAAAAAATGTGACAGGATCTGTTTCGGCACACCCTAAATCAACATAAAATTAACACTTCAATCTGCTAAGCTGCCCAGACTCCTAACTATTATCGACTTAGGCCTGAGGTACTCCAGTGACCTAACATTTGCTCAGCAAGTGGCAACACAGACTCCGAAATCTAGGATGCTCTTAAGATGCATACTCATAAAGCTTCACGACAATGAAGCCAAACATGTGTAAGGCCGCCATTAGAAGCGATAACTTAGTAGAATTGACGCTGTCTCTCATACCAATTCTAAAGATCGGAGTGTGCATTCTTTGCCCTATGAATATGCTTACATCCCCACATCTCATTAACGTAACTGCGCATGTCATACCAGGTGGACACGATACCACACCTATCTCCATAGGGAGCCAAAGTGTTGTACCTAACAAGGATGATAGGAAACCTTCGAGATGTCACGAGATCAAAGCCTCGAAGACGTATTTTTCGAATGGTGACGACTGTCAGCTCTGAAGTTCTGTCGTTTGCGAAAGCAACTCAGAATTATACTGCAATTTTTTCAAACAATGGGTGTACTGACGATTTGACAAAGAATTGCCAAGAGCATATAATGAGTTCATGCGAAATAACACATATTCCTGATGCTTGTGCTAACTCAGTTGCCATCACCCAGTCGCACCAAATAGTTTCATCGGAAAACGCAGCTCAGTGTACCACAAACAAAGGCACCCAAAATTTTTAAGCGAGACATTTCAGCCCACCCAACTGGCAGTATAAATCGATGACAGGTTAAGCCATACCCGATAAACGTTCTATTCAAATGATGCCCACAAACACAGTGGTGCAAGCAGCACGAAACTGCAGCCTGTAAAGCTTCGCAGGCTATAAAAGGTTGCTCAGGCAACTTATGATATATCGCCCCCATTAAGAGCTGAAGATGCTCAGAATCTATTGCTACTCTCGCAAGCCCTAGCTGTGAAGAGAACCTCCAATACATGAATGGGACCTGACAGGTCAGTGGCAGTCACGTAAATGGCGAGGAGGTTACTGGAACTAAGGCCCTTCATCTCCATGGCGATATATAGTGTTTCGGAGGTGGAGACGGGCAAACCCTGCAAGAAACACACGCGTGATGCACAGCGGTGAAGCCGATAGTCCTCTCAGACGGCTCTACGGGTTCTGGGGATATCTATGATATTGTCTTTCTTCGTCCGACTCGCACAACATAGGTTAGCTAAACACGTCTATTAGCTGTTAAACTCGACTCCCAGGAAATGAGAGTAAGTTACTGTTTTTGCTATGAAAACTTGTTTTGTGAGTCATGAGGGTGTAATTAAGGCTTGTTTTTGCCGTGACTCTTAGTAAGTATGATTCGGGCACATGAACTCGAGCACAACACGCATGGGAAATCGGGCGAAGTCACTATTGAAGCCTTTTTTCTAAGATTTTATAACACATACCGAAAGCCACACATTGTAGTGCTCTACGTCAGTGCTCGCCGTTACTTAGAAGGGACGCGACCCTTTCTCATAGCTTCAAAGTAGGGTGACGTGGGGGTGATGAATCCACCGAATAAACCTTAGAATGGAAAGCTGAGGAAATCAAGTTTTCTCACACTTATCTGACGTTGGGTTAGGAGTGACCCGGTTAATGCCTGCGAGATTATAAATGATTGGAATAACCTAAAGGTATCTCTCCATTAAATAATAACTAGCTTCTTGGTATCAACACTGAAGGAACGTGCTCAGAGAGGGAAGAATCCAGTAAACTCCAATTTCTTTTCGATTAGGGCTTGCCATACTTCTTCGCCAGCTGGTCACTGAGCCTACCATGGAAGGCTCTAAGGTGAGGTTCGGTAACCATAAGGCAAAGCGAGGACTACGTCCAAATGGATTCACAGCACTACTGAAGAATATCATCTAAAGTCGTCCTTTGCCAACTCTCGTTCTCTCCAGTCTCACCGTTCTGACCACCATACCTATTCACTCAGTCATTTTTATCTGGTTATTAAATTTCATAATCTATCTGTTTTTTGTACTTTTTCTTTCTAAGCCCACATATGTACACTATATATTATTGGTAACTCTCTTTCAACCACACCGAACGACTGACGGGTTGAAGAATTAACACCATTCATGGCAGAAACATAGCCTTAAAACACTGGATACTGCAAACCACAAATCCAACGTCCACACCAATCCCTTCCGTGTCAACCAAAGCTGTGGTAATCGGGTGGCAGTACAAAGTGCACTGAAGTTTACTGGAGAACAGGAGGCTTTTCCTTACAATCAAGAAGCAAGCCCAAAGAAGTCAGTTTCGCCTAAACTGTTTCGTGGAAAATATGTCGCTATGTGGATTATACGTACGCGTAAAAGCCAGTATCAGAGGTTGAATAAAGTAATTTGATTGTTTGCATAGTTTAGGGAATCTAATAGTATAAGACCCAGGTTTAGTGTTAGATTAAAAGTTATCCAACCAAATTAACTTAAAATCTTTGATCACAGAGGCAAATGGATTAAATTCTTGATTCTAGGCTTAGACATTGCGTATGAGCAGCGATCACTCCTTACCACAATGGATAATTCAAACATTAACCCTCAATTTGTACGCCAGTAATTTTCAGAAGAACCTTAAAAGGAGTTGTTACTATTCATGCACTTATTTCCCAATTTGAATCTGAATAAACTAAAAGCAGCGGTTTATACAGGGTATTATGATGTTGTGTTTATTTCTCCAATTCCTCCTTATCTAGTTAAAATCTAGGCGATTGACTTAGTAAACCTGCAGAGCAACTTCTAACATGCTTACAAAGTTTACCTGATCTAAGATAACAAGAGTACTGAAAGTAATAAACGGTATTCAAAACTCATATTTATGTAGGTTGTACACAGAAGACCCACTTTTGGGTAAATAAGAAAAGGATTTGTGTTATGAATACAACAGCTGGATGAGTTGGGACTTATTGCTTACATGGAAGACAATGGCTTCCTAACGAACATAGAGCACTTTCTCGAAGAAATTTCTCATGTCTGACAAAAAAATTGGGCTAAGTTGAGGTGCAAATGATCTGTTCATCCCATCACTCATTTGCATCAGTCGTGCAAATGCTGCCACATGGAGGAAACGCCTCTTCCATAATCTCAAATGTATGCTGACCTACTCGTTAAAGTGAATCACTGTCTGATGCTTAGAGTCCTTCAGATAAGTGCGATTATCACTGATTTGTCGACCACCATGTGCACACCTTTGTGAGGTCTAAAACGTAGAAATCCAGGTAAGCAGCCAGATCTTATCCTAAAGGTAACTCACATATAGGGAACGAGATAATAAAATTTCTTAGCATACCCTAAACACAGAGATTTAAAAACGCAGTTCATAATTTTAAGAAATGTTTAAAGATTGGATTTCTCTGTCACCCCTATCAGGCTGAAACATCTCAAAGGACAAAATTGGAATGTTCGAAAGTCAAGGGGGACTTAAACTAATTTTTAATTTTATTTTTTTTATTTTTGGTTACAGCTTGATTCCACACAGTATTTTCAGTACAAGTATGGAATTTTCAGCATGGATATCGGTAGCCCAAATTTTGCAGGCCGACCATAGATATCGGGTGTGCGTCGGCAGAGGATCGAACCCCGGACCATATGCTACTACTACTATGGTTTACAGGTCATCGTAACAAGTGAGTAACTGCCACTGAAGAAGAAACAGTGTCTGCATTTTCAGTCAACCAAACCAAAGTTGGGACAGAAAAGTACATTTAGTAGTGAAAAGGTAAAAAATGATTGGCAGTCTTTCTGTCATCAGTTTAACATCTCTATCCCAGAAGAAGTAGTGTCTGCAATCTCAACTGACTCATTCACGAAGGAGTTCGTAAACCACATAAGTTTACTGGAAAAGGATTACCATAGGCTCCAAGCCTTCTCTCCTCAACCAATAAATCTGAACCTGAATATTGGACATTGTACGTAAGCGCCATCTCTCAGTATTTCGCTACAAATGTCTTGAAAACACATGGTTTTCAAGGGAAAAAAGACATTTCGTAGCGCACAGAAATTTAAATCTGGAAATAAAGCACTTCCTGGGAGTTTAGAGCGTCTTCAATATCTGCAAGAGCTGTTGACTGAGTACCAAGAAACTTCGATCAGTGAATACAAGGAACAGGTTCGTGAATATTGACTCAGAAGAGTATTTTCTGTGTACTAGATTTTAGCCAATCTAGCGAACTTTTGTTACGATTCACGAAACGGACCGCATCTCCGGCAATTGCATCTAGTAGACCTCTTTCTGGATTGTATCAAACAACCATCAACAGTGTGGTTTAAAGCTGGTAAGTATCTGACTTTAATAGTATGATTTAGTAACTTTGTCTTGGTATTAAATGTATGCATGTGTGTTTACACGTTTCATATGAGGGTCTAAATAGAGATGTAGAAGTGCGAAAACTAGCATTTGTGAGGCGATATGCCTAGCCACAGAATGCCCATGGGATATTTAGGCGCTTTTGAACAGATGAGATGGGTACAAAACATGGGAAAAAATCAACACCACTTTCTATTGTTTCTACATTTTCAATCGCACCTGTTGCTTCCTTGTTCTACTTACTTCATGAACGTCATTTACTAATCAAACATTTCAAAGGCAATGCCTGTCCTCCCACACGTTTTCACGAACATTCTCTGACTGGCGATTATTTTAAATAATCTTTTTTCCCTGTGCTTGACGGCTACTTTCAAGATTATCTGAAAAGGCAATAAGAACTGAAATTGTACCATCTCGCTTAAAGAACACAACAGCACCAATAGTCGTTATTTATTTTCCTTTTCACTTGTGCGATCACAGGGTTGTAAAAAAAAATACAATGCACAAAGTATCTGTACTTTCATGTAAAAGTGTAGCAAGTGAAATTATAAGCAGTTCACGTATTAACTAGGAGATATAAATAGTAATCTGATTAAACGTTTTGAGGTATGGGACTTCTAAAAATGTATTTTCGATATAATTAGCTAGGGATTCATTTGTTTTAGTCTCTTTCAGAGACTTTCTTCAGCATTTTGTGTCACATTTAAAAGATTGCCTGTTAAAAGTGTATGAGGTAAAAGTACTAGTCGTCCAAGTATATATCTTTTGATTCTTATTTTTCCGTAGTTAACCACAATGATAATTACATTTGTAAAATGTGTTGGTACAACCTTTGCATTTAGCTGCACAGGAACAAGTGTGTTGATATACGCTTACAAAACACAGAGTACGACGATACCCCTGAAGTCTCAGCAGACAAAGCTAAACTAAGACGCAAAGATGTAGTGTAGCATGTATAGAATTGGAAACTGTCAATCAGTGGCTTTTGGTATTGTGTGCGTCGGTGGCACAGTGGTTAGGACTCTCGCCGACCATGCACATGGTCCGGGATTCGATCCTCTGCCGACGCACACCCGATATCTATGGTCGGCCTGCAAAATTTGGGCTACCGATATCCATGCTAAAAATTCCATACTTGTACTGAAAATACTGTGTGGAATCAAGCTGTAAATAAAAAAGCGTTTCATTCACCCCCTCTACTTGCTATGGTATTAATTTACTATTCTTCACAGATTATGCAGTAATTTCCATATTGATTCCCTGTTAATTTGTTTATAAGATATATCAGAGAAACTACCGTTTACTGGATGACATTTCCAACAATTTATTGTTCATAGTTATACCTTCAATTATAACCACTCAACTTTAAAACTTTCGTTTTATAGTTTCCTTTATTCTTTCCTATTTGTCGTAGGGGTAATAGAGTTTTCTAGATGTCTGGGACAGGTGTTGAATCATTCCTATAACACACATTTTTAGTTGATTCGATAAATAAACTTGTCGTTATGAATCTCTCCCTCCACCCTGCTACTTTAGACTTTAAAATTGTCATCTTATTCCATCATACTATTTAATGGTTGTGTGTAATTGCATGTGGCGTAGTGCTATCTTATTAGGGTCAACTAATCTACATTTGGCTAAGTTCTTGTACTCCGCTAATCTGAATGACTGACCCTGTTCTACTACTTTGACTTATGCATTTTACCTGACGGTCATTATAGCAGGCTATTAGACGAACAAAATTGTTTTGTTTAATTGGTTTCACAGGATCCTTTAACCGACAAAGCCTGTTTCTAATTGAGTTTGTGAGTGATTGAATGCCACTTTTATTCTTGCATTGTTAAGACTTCTCCTTAAGGTTTCCGACGTCCCTTCTTCGTATGGAAGTCCTACTAATGACTGCTTAAATGTCTTATCGTTTGTGTTGTCATTATTCTGTGCCTGTTTGTCAAGCTGGTCGTGATTATTATTATTATTACCAACACTATCACTACTGTTATTATTAATTTTATTTTCACATTTACCTGCACACTTCCTGACCAATTTATCTGGGTAATTATTAAGCTTCAAAGCTTCTGTCATATGCCTTGCTTACTGTCGTAGATTTCCCTTGGTACCATTTAGTTTTTGTGCCCTATTACTTGAAAATTTCACGAATGCTATTTTTACTGATATAGAGTGAGTTGATCAGAAATCCAAATATCGGTTTGAATGTGTGGGTTCTTGTAAACACTAATGTTTAACTTCCCGTCTTACTTTCTTTTTACGTTACACTCTAACATTGGGAGCTCCAGTTCCTGACTTTTCAATTCATAATTGAATTGAATTGCCTCCAGCTTCAAGTTGGTGTTCGAAAAACCTATTTATATACGGTGGGAAAGATTTGTATTTCAGGTTGATGATATTGATATGGTTGTGTTCTATGTGCTAGATGGTTTATTTGAAAATAGACCCGTGTTCTAAGTACGGTGGATGCGTCATCTACATACCTCCACCATACTTTCGGGGTGGGGCTGAATGTTTCAATCACTAAGTTTTCCCGCCTGTCCACAATCGGGGATATCAGTGACCCCATGGTAACTCCCTCTGTTTGTATATTTTCTCTTGGAACTTAAATACTGTGGAAGTCAGCCATAGCTGCACCCCTAGGAGTATATCCTCTAATGGCACTTTTGTTCTAAGTTCACTTTCTTTGTTAGAAATTAGTTCGTCTCTTGCTGCTTCTATAGCCATATTTATTGGTATACGTGTATATAAACTGACAATGTCAAAACCAACCATGTTTTTCTTCACCATCTAATTTCAAATTATCTAATCTGTGTTTAAGTTCATAAGAATTTGTTAGTCCACATTTTCAGTGGCTTCTAAACAGATTGAATACCAAAGCTAAACATTTAGACAATTCATGAGGAGGGAAATTTCTAAAATCAACTGTAGGTCTAATAGGACATCCTGACTTATGAACTTTATCAACACCATACATCCTACTGGGGTTATTAGTTTTGGGCATTAAATTAAACCACTTAGACTCACCTAGAAACGGCTTCATTCGGCGTATAAGGTCCGCTGTGGATTTCTTAACTTTATTCATAACGATGTCCATTGATTTATTAATTTCCTCATGTGGTCCTGTTTCTATGGGAGTATTCACCTTGTCCAAATAGTCTGATTTATCTAATATTATTGTTGCATTTCCCTTGTCTGAACTTGTGATTACTATATCCTTGTCGTTCTTAAGTTGTTTTAGGGCTTACATCTCTGGTTTCGTCAGGTTAGGCTTTCCCCTTTTTTGTCGTTTCATTGTCACTGCACATCCCCTAACTTCATCATCAGCCTTTGTTTTGTCCACTACAATTAATGCTATTTCTACTTTAGAAATAACATCCTCAGGTTTCAGCATGTCTACCGCTACATTGACATTTAGTCCTTATTCTAATACACCTATTTTTGTGGGACTTAATATATGTGTTGAGAGATTGATAACCCACTTTGTTTTATCGATCATTGTTGACTTCAGATTGCTGATCTCATCGTCCTCAGATGGAGATTTCTCCTCTAATAATTTATTGAACTTTCTGATTTGAGTATTTCTTGACTTTTTGAATACTGCCGATTTGGCATTGCCAGAGGACTATATCATAAGAATGTAATCATTGTTGGTAACTATTCCAATTCACTTTCGCTCTACTGCTCGATTTCATTTCTGATATGGTGCAACTTTTTAACGATTCTGTGGATCTCTTCTTTTAAGCATAATTTTTGTAGACTTTCTATTCTGGTTCTAACTTAGTCTGTTGGGACTGATTCAACACCTGTCCTTCTGGACATTTGGACAATCCTACTACCCCTACGACAAATAGAAAAGAATAAAGAAAACTATAAAACTCAAGTTTTGAAGTTGTGTGGTTATAATTGAAGGTATGACTATGAACAGTAATAAATGGTGTTCGCAACTTTGTCATGCAGGTGGTAAATGGTACTGTTTCACTGTGTGATATATCTAATAAACAAACTAATATGGAATTACATAATACCACAGTGCCCAAGTTTTACATATACATTACAAATCGATCATTTCCACTTCAGTGGCTACACTCTTAAATGCAAATCTAAATTCCCCTTGTGCATTATATTCTTCCTTACAGCCGCAACCCTTCCCTCGTATCTTCATCTTCTGATAAGTAGCTTGACATATATAACTAACTGGTATAATGGATGACGCATGTTAAAGTTTTTCATGACAATCATAAAGCACAGCTTGACTTGGCTGTATAGCTTTGACAAGAAGTCATGAATAACGTCTTTCTTGTAAACCTATCTCTTTAATATCTACTTTACATAAGTACTTTAGTTGCATTCAAAGTGGGTCATAGAAGAGCATACCAGAACGTCCAGTTGTATATACATTCATTAACTGTAGGCTTTTGAGGCCACTACTAGGCGTGACATCCGGCTATCAACCAAGGGACGTGTGTACTGCTCAGCAGTTCGCTCCGTCCTTCTCTATGGCGGTGAGACGTGGCCATTGAGAGCGGAAGACATGAAAAGATTGTCTGTTTTTGACCACAGATGTTTACGATCTCTCTCGTGTTAAGTGGTATAATAAGGTAAGTAATGTTGACGTTAGGCGTAGAGTGTTGGGCAAAGAGGGAAAATCAATCGAAGAGGCTATAAAGTTACATAGATTGAGATGGCTAGGTGACGTGCTGCGCATGCCTAGCCATCGCCTCCCCCGACGGACGGGCATTACTAGCTGATATAGGTGCAGGTTGGAAGAGAGTAAGTGGTGGCCAAACAAAAACATGGCCTCATCAATCCATGAAATCCTTGACAGTGAAACTCAGTCAGTCAGGTAGGGAGGGAGATGCAGACTTCCGGGTTGGGGCCCTCGGGACTCTAAGAATCAATGGCTGGAGACAATAGGTGACATGGCTCAAAATCGTTGTCAATGGTTTACGCATATGTATT